ATTGGTCATACTCTAAAGATAGTTTTGATTCTTAGATTATGGATTTGCGGTTAATTTTGATGATTAAGATGTCTAATCTTAGCTTTTCAATTATAATGAACATATTAACGAACTCTTTTGTATCACACGAACTATATTTTTCTCGATACTATCTAGTTTTCTCATATCCTTTTTGTATCTGTATGCATATCTGCATCTATATCTGTAACCGTATCCGATTTTAGCGAATATAGATATGAATTTTCCTTACCGATGTATATCTGTATCAATATCCGAGATGGGTAAGCGGATATAAATATGGTAAGCATCATATCCGAGCCGTATCCAGGCTGAATTCACCCTAGAGCCTTTGTATGAGACAAGAAAGATATTGTCATTTATTTTATATGATAAGTGGTTAGTTCAGTTAATCATCGCATTTACTACTTTAAACTTTAAAGTAAACATACTACAGTAAAATTTCAAATAATAAACAACCGTCCATGCTATAATAAAATTATGAACCTCCAAAACATTGCTCGTGCTAAGTAGATTTTTGTGCCTAAAACACTATTTATGCTACAATTAAAATTTTGAATCATATGACAAATAATGTTCATTATAGTAAATGCATTGGAGTAATTACCAAACTTAATAGAGTAAGGGGTTGTTTGGTTCATTTCCTAGAAATATAAGTTTGGGAGATTACTCATGGGATATAGGTTGTGAAACTCATTTTTATGTTTTCAAATTCATTTCATGACTTTTTAGAAGGAAATGAGTTTCCTTAAATTTGGAACCTTTAACACTATTGTCTTACTAGTGGATGGGTCTCACATGCATAACATCTCTTTTTTTTCCTCTCTCAACCAAATGCAAGAAAATGAAATCAAACACCTTCACATGGTGTGTATGTTGTTTTGATTTCCTTTTCTTAGTTTCCCAGCCAACCAACCAACCCCTTATAAAACACAACAAAAATAATGAATAAGACTAATCCTAATTAGATGTGCAAAACAAAATACTAGATTGTGCTTAGCACAAGATTAATAGCAGTGTTGAATAATGTTGAAATACTAATCAAGTCGATCTTAAAATTATGTTCGGTGATTTGAATTAGATTGTGGCAATAAGTAAGCCAGGGGGATCAAATACTAAACCATTAACCAACAATAAAACTAGGACATCTTGGCACTTTGCGAAAAGCATCTATTTATCACATACGATAAAGTTTATTATAGAATTGATATATATTTTAATATCTGGATCAGATCCAAATCTAACATAAAATAAATAATTTAGGGCCCTATCTCGGGTGTCAAACTTGTTTCTGTTTCGGTTTCACATCTAAACATTCTAAACTGATCCAAAACTAAATCCGACCCGTCGAACTACATGTTTCGGATATTAATGGGAACCTGAACCACAAAGCCTCCAACCCGTTTCGGATCCTAATGAGAAATTTCATCTTCATTATTGACCTGTTTCCTCTCACAAAGAAGGAATCAGTGAAAAAAATATATTTTTCTCTAAGAAAGGGGTTTCAGATCAGTCATCTGAAAATCAAATCTAGGGTAATTTGTTTCTCTTAATTGTTTCATAGATATTGTACTAATAGCCGAATCGTTTGAAGATTCGATCCAATTTTTTTCCCCATAATTTTATGTTTACTTTTTTTTAGTTTAGTTGTCGTAGTTGCAGAATCTAGAGTTATTGGACTAGTATCAGATCCTTAATATTATTGCCAATCAAGCTGAAATTATTAAAGTTCATTTTTTTGTTTTAAATCATAAAATATGATCTTAAATTGTGGAGATTTTGATCCTTTTAAAATCGTTGGTTTCTGTTTGTTTTACACTTTTTCATGATTAATCTTCGCTAGTTGATCTCTTATTAGATCTTTTACTTACTTAGATCTATGCTTAATATTGTTCAATGTTCAGAAGAGAGGCCCTAACCCTAATAGCAGTTAAAGTCCCTGTGCCTCTTAATCAGACATAATTGGTCTGTAATTTGTGAATTTTCGCCGTGATTGTTATAAATTATCTCAAATGGAAAATTAAGCCCAACTTAAGTAGTTGAAATTGCTTACGTTGCAGACTCTCTAGACAGCAATTACCTTATGAATCAACATAATACACATAACAAATTGTTTGATATAGTGGAAATGAAACAAATATGAAAACTCTATCTAAAACCTTTTGATATAGTATTAAGTACAGTCAATTAACATCATCCAAAATCAACCTCAAGATTATTTATTTAACTAAATTCCTCAAGAATCCCAAGAATCCAAAAAGATCTAAATCATAAAATTCAAACAAATAGATCAACCTTAAGAATCAAATTTAGTAAACACATAAAATTCTTAGCTATCTATCATATACCGTTCATCTTTGATGAATACCTAGATCATCAGCACAAAATAAATACCGAGCTAACCTAAATAAATATATATAATATATTGTTCATCCTTCTATTATCCTTTAACTCAAGAAGAAACTGCATCAAGGACCTCCATAATCAAATTACTACATCAATATTCCTTCAGCAGATCTAAATCAGGTCAAGAAGATATTTCAACTAAAAAAATCAACAAATTTGCACAAAATCATCACTTACAACCTTAAATCTAACAATGGTCTATCAGATCTACAACAAATACAACGAAATATCCCATATCTGTTTAAACTAAGCAACACAAATCCTAAATTGCCTCAAATTTATTTTCCTCTTTCACCGAAATTTCAGCACGGAGAGCTTACAAAAAGATTTGGGCAAGAAGGTAATAACTCATAATTTTACAACCTTTGCATTCTTCCATTGTACAACTATAATGCATTACATAAATTATGTTTAAATCTCTGGGAAACTCCGATTACTGAAAACTTCTTTGTACACAGGCATTTCTCTGGATCGTCCAGTGGTTGCCTCGTGTTGCTTTAGCTTGCATGAAATTTTTGTCCAATATATTTAAGGGTTAATTGCAGATAGACCCCTGTAGTATCATTGTTTTGAACTTACTATCCGTCTAGTTTTATTTTTGTAGATAGAACCCCGAGCGAATTCTTTTTAAATCTTTTACCCTGGGGAGTCAATTTGTCAAAAAAACAATTTTCTCCTTCATTAAAGGGTGACAAAAAAGAGTCCAAAGTTCCGCTCAGCGGGGTTTATCTGGAAAAATGGAACTAGACGGGTAGTAAGTTCAAAACATCAATACTGCAAGGGGCCTATCCGCAGTTACCCTATTATTTAATATATTCCCCTCATTTCAGGGTCTTCACCGGATTGGAAAACCTGATGTGCCCATCTACGACGGAGCTTGGACAGAATGGGGGGTCTCAATCTGTCCAATGACTTTGGGCCAAATATTAAATAATAGACTTCTAAATATTGGTTGTTGCATCAGGTTAAAATTTGCCAATGACTTTGGGCCAAATATTTATAATTGTTGGCATCAAATTAAATCACAGTTTCGGCTTGTACTAGTAATCTGGAGTTGCAGTTTGGCTGTCAAGTCTACCAGGATTTTAACTGATTTGAAAAGTTTTATTATGCAATGTTTCTTTTGAAGCCTCCTCGTTAGGGGTGCACTCGGTCCGGATACGGCTCGGATATGATGTTTACCATATTCATATTCGTTTTACCCATCTCAGATATGGATACGGATACGGATATATCTCGGTAAGAAAAATTCATAATCATATCTGTTAAAATTGGATACGGTTACGGATATACATGCGGATATATAAGCGGATATGCATGCGGATATAAAACGGATATGAGAAAACTAGATAGTATGGCGTAAAACATAGTTCATGTGATACAAAAGAGTTCGTTAATATGTTCATTATAATTAAAAAGTTAAGATTAGACATCTTGATCGTTAAAATTAATCACAAATCAATAATCTAAGAATTGAAACTATCGTAAAAGTATGACTAGTATGTATTCGGATATTTCGGACACGGATACGAATATTTCACTACAAAACCATATTCGTAACCATATCCTATCGGTTATAAATTTGAGTAACCATATCCGTATCCTAACGGATGCGGTTCCACATATTTCCTCAGTTACAGATACGGTTTAGCACCCCTACTCCTCGTAGTTTTTCAGAGGGTTTTACTTTTCTAATGCTTTTACGTTAATTTGTTTTTCTTTTTCCTGCCCCCCCTGTTTGGTGATTTATTCAGACTAATATATTTTCAAAACTCAGAAAAAGATCAAAAAGAAGTTCGGGAATGTTGTTGACATGTTCTACTATTTGTTTTATTGGTAAACTGCAGATAGGTTCCATGTAGTTTCGCCCAACCAACGATAGAGCCTCTGTAACCCTGAGTGAACTTTTTTGCTTGTAAAATGGTCAGAAAGTTTTGTAGAGGTGGATAGACTCCCTCTAGCTGTATTAATGTGGATGGACATTGCTAATTTTTTTAAACTCTTAAAAAAGTTGATTGAGGGGATCTATTCACACTTGGAGCAAATAGTATGGGATGTCTGTCTGCACAATTAGAACTATAAAAGGTAGGTCTATCTGCAGTTGGGCAATACTACAAATTGTCTATCCGCAATTTGCCTAATTTTATTTGACCTTGGCTCTTGGTTTACAGCCCTCCTCCGGCTAATGGAGATAGGAGCCGACCAGCCCTCGGAATTATTGTGCTGTTTAAGTTTCTCATTAACGGAAACGGAGATCATTAGGATCGCGTGGCCTAATGGATAAGGCGCTCGCCTCCGGAGCGGGAGATTGTGGGTTCGAGTCCCATCGCGATCGCTACAAAATTTGAACGACGATTTTTAATTCGCGTTTGCATTTTTAAAGCTTGCAGTCTAAGAACCACCATTTTCGCCTAACACCATAATTACTTTCGATTCTCTTGATTACTTCTGCTGTCAAGGGTGTACTAACCAACGTAACAAGTGATTAACGCAATAAAAAATTGTCGGAAAAATAAAGTTTACTCGTAGGAAGACTAAAGTGAAATCATTTTCCGACTCTGCCAGGCTCATTCGAGTAAAGCGTAATCTACTTGCAGAGCAAATAAAAGCTTAAAAAATACGGAAAACAGTCACAGCGGCCTCCACTTCAGATAACGATGGAGACGAAATATGGGTTTCAACGAACATACTCTCAAAAAATTTATCGCATAAAAGTAGACACTTCAGCCGATGTCATTCTTTTGAGGCACGGAAATACAAGACTACAGCTCGACTGCAGAAAATATCGAGAAAATTAGAGAAGCTGGAGGGGCGTACTGCTCAAGCGTTCATTGCTTGACAAGAGAAACATTGTCCCCACATCAATAGCAATTTTGTGGAGGCAAGAATCGCAAATCCTAACTGAAACCCTGGCCGCAAAACCTATCAAAATTGTCACAGCATCTGAGAAATTTCTCCATGGCACATGAATCCGAATTAGTAGCCAGAAGAAGGCTAATCTTTAAGGCTGGTTCAGAATGGCTTCGAGCGTTCAACATGATAGTATGTTTCTCTCAAGCAGAGTTCTGGGAATCCCCATGCATAGCCTTCCATTTTCAGGAGCTCGAGAACTTGGGAATGATGATACCAAGCAAAAAGTGTAGATCCGCTTACAGAAATCACATTCTACTACCTCATATTACTCTCACTAGATTTAGCATGTCCAAATAAATCCACAGAGAGAAATTGTTGCTGCTCGCTCAGCTTGGAGAACCACCTCTTTATTAACTTAACATGATCAGAGAGACTTGTTTCCGGTGTGAGTTCTTCACCTTCACCAACAATGTCGCTAAAACTTAATGGTAGAAGATTTAACATAGCACCAATAGCAGCCAACTCGGTTGGAAAACTCATTTTCCCTGCAATGTTTTTATCTATAAACAAGGAGAGAGTGCTTCTTAGTTCAACAATTCCTTTCTCCTGATAACCAGCTACATCAACGCCAAACCTGCAGAGAAAGGTGAAAAGCATGAAGGAATATAAATCGCATTAGTTAAGGCAACATGGTCAGAATACAGACAAAACTAGAAAACTCAATAAAATGAAAGGGGTATGATATAGTGACAGCATATATGTTAGTTAAAATTTTTAACGTGGAGTTTTCTGTAGATTTTTTATTACACTGGGTCACAATTTATGTCTGTTAAAAACAAGTTTGGGCTTTGACCTAAACCCACGTCATTTAAGATGTATGCTTCAGATGTACATCTAGTGTTATCGTCAAATAGGCTGGATCGTCACTGCTAGTTGGTCAGATTCATATACCTAGAACCCATTTTATAGATTCTGCCATGTCAGAACCAGACTCAGTGCAAAACTTATTATAGATATATTACCGGCAAGAAGTGAATAATCGCATCAGTATTACCATAATGGGCAACTGAAAGTGGTGGAAAAGGAAAGTGAAGAATTATGTTTCTAACATATTTATAGAGCCCATTACAATTGATCATTTCTCATAGATAAATCTTTCTTCTCAAGAAATCTGCAGACTACATCTTCCCCTCTTCTCAGTTTATGCCTCTAAACTCAGCAAGCCAATAGCCCGTACCTAACTGTATGGAGGTCTGGGGTGATGACAGCTTCTCCAGGTAGTTCCTTCTCCCTTCTTCTCTATTTGTTTCTCCTCTTTCATCTTTCTCTTACTTTCCCTATTCGTTTAAGTCAGTTTCATAAATTTTACTCCTATTGAAGTGTTTCCCATTGTTTCAGCCTAAAACATTCTGAAATTTTAACACTTTTGCTAGTATATCACATTAATAGCCTGACTGGAAGCTATGGCATGTTTCCTATCATTTAGGTGAATTAGAGCGATAAGCAACAGTATTGCCTGCTTTCTAAAGCCTTAGATGAAAATCAACTGAATCTTCAAAACTAATCGTTATTATAATATAGTGTTAATTAATCCAGAAAATATTTTGTAAAGTAAAAAGTGTACCTCCCCAGGTGACCCATGAGAACAAAAAGAGCAGCTGCAAACTCCACATGTTTGCAAGATTCCAGTATACTCGTAAGACGAGAAATAATTCTTCCGTATATCCATTCCCAGTTCTGCAAATATTGACATGAAAGAATTTCATATAATTAGCTCTAAAATTTTTAAGTACAATAACAAAAGAATTAAAACAACCTAGAGATTAAAATGAATGTATATCAGAATTCTGAATCTTTAATACATTAGAAACGCATATGAAAACTTTCAGCAACGAGTCATCAACAAATCAACATGTTTAGCAATAAGGTTAACCATTTTGATTGAGCAACGTCCTTAACTTTAAACCAAGAAAATGACTTTTAAAATTGGTTGTAATGTGCTAATGATCCAATGTCTGTATATGGGACTAGGCTACAATTTTAGCCATGCTTAGATTGTATCCACGTGAAAATGCACCCAAAATGACTTTTTAAACTGATGCATACAAATCAAAACAACAGTGCAATTTTTCCAAAGAAGAATGATCAAGTTACTGGATGCCAGAAAGGCTGGATCTTATGCAGGTGGAGAAGATGACAAATAACAAACAAGTAGGAGAAATTCTATTGGCTGGGCTTTCATCGGCCTTTGGGATATTTGATTGAATCAGAGAATCGGTTCTTACAGGGCCCGGAATTGGATCTTGCTTTTCGTCCAAGCAGATAACCACCAAAGAATCTAAAAGGTGCACCTTGTATAGAAAATGTGTCACGGATTTGCACATTTATGGCCTAGCTGTGTTATGTGTAAAGGACAATAGATAATTGGAGACTTCGACAGAAAGTATAAATAGACACTTGATGCATCCAGGGACAAAAAAAATAAAGATTACTGGACAAAAAGGACATTTTATACTGAAAGGCAAAATAAAATAAAAGACGAACATGCAAATAAACTCAAGAAGCAAGGTCACATACCATGTAGCATCCAACTAGCTCTACCAGAGAAACAATGTCATTGAAGTGACACAAGGACCCTTCAGGTAAACAGTCAGGCAAATCAGCAGCATGCTTCTTGGATATGTACAAGCAACAGGACACATGGGATACATTAGTCTGGCCATGGCTTTCCTTGTCTCTCTCTGCGAATGCTGGGACCAGACAGCGTGACAAATTAACTGAACTACTTGCATTTGGGCATCCAGCCCCAGCCAGTACAAAACACTCTAGCACATCCAACAGCAAAGTTACTAGTTTGTCCATGTCCATACAAACTGCACCACTAGAAAATGGACATTCTTGGCAATGATGAAAACTAGGCTCTATCCCGGATGCTATACAATTGGGAGGTGAGATAGAAGTGAAAGATCGGTGTCCTCTCTCAAGTAATAGAACCACGGATCTTAATGCGACTATAAGAAAACTACATTCCTTCACATCAAAAAATTCCTTCCCGCAAACCGAGGCAAAAATGTGCAGCGCTAAGAGTCTCCAAGATGGATCAAGTTTGCACATTCGGAGAATTCTAAAGGATGCTTCAAGGACAAAATCAATCCGCTCAGCTGAAACGGAAATAGATGCCAATATAATGCAGCCTGCAACAAACTGATGAATTGTGGCGTCTTCAGAGTATATGTTGGCCCCATCCGATTGAAAAACGCTAGAAGGTGTATCATTACATTCAGAGAAGCTATTGACACACACAAGAAATTTCCTCTCAATCAGAAAATCCTCGACAAGGCCAGCAAGGATGTCTAACTGACATATTTCTTCTAACAATGTTTTGGTCTTCACATCAGATAGCTCTGCAGGGAGTGAAAATTTCAATGGTTAGATTGTACTCCTCATGACGAAAAATTGAGGCCAGCCAGCAAGTGAAAATTTTAATGGTTTAGGTTGTACTCCTACTGGCAAAGAATTAATGATTAGGAAGTAACATATTTAATAACATACAGTGCCATTCCATTCTAATTTCTGAAAGATCTATTGCTTTCTCAACTTTGGGCTTGAACTCTTGATTTCAAGTGTGGTTATCTTACTATAATACTATTATAAAGATATTGAGAACAAAGTCTTTACTAACTGAACATAAGTCATCAACATTTAGTGACTACATCCAAATTAACCATCCACGATCAATCCAATCTCAGTTATTAATGACTGCTCTAGGCTCTGAAATTACTCATCAAGACAGTGTACATTTGTATGTTAACAAATTGTTCCGCTTTTTCATTCATAATGTGCTTGAACGCTTCACAGATAACCATCCATGGCAACCTTGTATCTTCAGTTATCTATTTATACAGGTTTCATTTGAAAAATTAACAGGTCGAGCAGATGAGAAATATACAACAGAAATAAAGGTAAAAAAAATGAAAGCGTACGAAAGAGTTTAAAGTTAGAAGTAAAGCTCCTTCATAATCATGTTCTAGAATCAATTAAATAATCAATAACAAATCATACGAATTACATTTATTGAATGTTGGCCAAATACCCAACAAAAAAGATTCAGAGTAGAAGACAACTTAAAGAACAGGTAACCAAATATTACCTGTATTTATTTGTGCTGCAAAAGACTCAAGGTATGGTAACGGATGTTCAATACTGATGCCTCTAAAATTTATTGACATCCTGTTGGATATATTGCATACCAAGACTGAAAGGAATACACTGTTCTTCTCCCTATAAGAAAGCAGAAAAAAAAGTCAATTACATAAATAAAATAACACAGCACAAGTACTAAACTAACAAGATGAAGAAATCTTTTAATAGATATCAACTATTAGAAACAGAAAGCAGACACAAATCGTTAAGGCAAAAAGCACATACTCAGGTAGGAGAACTGCATCTGCTGCTAATGCATTGTATAATTGCACAATCACGTTGCCTATCTGAGGACCCATTAAACTTTGATGTGAAAAAGCTTTTCTCACGTGAAGAAGCCTTGATATGCTGTCGTTATCTTTTATATTTGGGAACAGAATGCAGCATAATACAGTAGTTAGCCCGACTTTATCATCGTGATTTATTCTAGATGAGTCCTGAACATTGCAACTGATGGATAAAGCTGGCTGTTTTGAAGCTTCTGGAAGCGTGGAAATGCTCCCTTGCTGAGCTATCTCAGCATCAAAAATGACCGCACCTGTGCATTTTAGACGACACACAAATATCTTGAGATAAGTGGCAATAACAAAAAAGTGAACTAATAACAACAAAAACAAGACACCTACCGTCCTTAACACATTCATTTATTTCAGCACTGAGCACATGTTTTTTGCAGATGATTGTACCATCAGATGCACTCACTTCACCGTCAATCTGGTTCTCAACCCCATATGAAGTTGTTGTACCAACTAATTCACATGCTTTAGTTTGTCTATTTTCAACTAGTGATGCATTTCTTATCACATTATCTACCTTCCCAGTTGAGCTCTGCAAGCACACATCATCTGATGCACAAGAACCAGAAATGTCATATGCAGTGAGTGGTTTGTCAACGACATCAGACAGTGAATCTCTACTAGTGTTTGGATCAGGAAATGCTTTATGGCTTCCTAAGAATGATTCTGCATCAGCATCCATCTTGTTGTCACCAGACTTCCCTGAAGTCTGTTCAACATCTAGAGGTCCATGATTACTGGAGGGCTTAGGATTATCTTCAATAATGTCTAGCCTACCCTGTTGGCTGATGCATTTCTGGAGTTTGACTGCACAAGTATTTCCAGGATCCTTTGTCGGGTAAAGAGAATCCATACTTTCATCTGAAACTAAGCATTGATCAGCGCTGATAGCTCCATTCTTTGCAAGTGTGACATCAAGCAGATGGAATGGTCCTGGTTTACCTCTCTCCATCACACAGTGAGCATCATTTTCAACACATTTGTGGTTAGAAAGCAATAAGTCCGGTAAAGTCGGTGAAAGAGGACATTGAACTGCCATCCTGTACCTCTCTTCATCAGCATCATTGTCCAAATCAAGTAATTTCAGACAACCACCACGTATCGTGTTCTCAAATCTAATCAAATCTGCTTGTTCGTTGCTAACAGCCTTCCCTTCTAGCTCAATGTAACCATTTTCTCTTAACTGGTGAGAAGATTGCATGCTCTCAGCAACAAAGCTTGGATCCTTGCTCCTTTGATTATCAAACTTACCACCTTGTTTATCAGTGTCATTTTGACCTAAAGATTGTGAAGCAGGCAATTGATGTTTACTTTTTCTTTTCTTGCTATGATGATTGCTAGTCTGTCTACAAGATTCATTACGGTTTTCGCTAAAACAAGCAGATCCATTAAGAAAATTTTGGGAGATCCCACAGCCCTGGGAGCTACTAGGTGCAGTCACCTCACCAACTAAGTTCATAATATCCTTAGATATAGTTGGTTTCCCTCCTATCTTGGAATGGGATTGATTATGTGCAACAGGCTCCATAATGTCATTGACCTTCCTTCTTTTAGAGGCATGAACAAATTCTCCATCAAGAATTTCCTTATAATTCTTGCGTGCAGTCAAGCATGCATTTCCGGCTTCTCTATGAACACTAGTCTTATCAACATAGTTTTCCACAACACCAAGTTTCTTGTTTTTCCCAGTTTTATCCATTTCACTAGACAATTTCATGACAGTTGGTCTCTTATTTGCATGCTTCTTTGTTTGCTTTACTGATGCAGTGACAGCAATTGAACCTCTTTCCTGTGAGTCCATGGATCTTTTATCAGAATTAGATGTATTGGAACATATGGCAGAACTTTGTGACTTGTTTCTGTCAGAACCTCCAACCGGAGATTCCAATTCAGAGATAATACCTGTGGTTGGTCGTGTACAGCTGCTTCTAGGTATAGAGAGACCAACACATTCTCTTGTTGGCTCACTGAATTTGAATGAACCCATACAGGGTTTTGACCGTCCACAATCAGTCATAGAGTAGTGATTGCATCTCTCTGTACACAATAGGTTGTTTTGCAATTTGAAGCCATGGATAATGGAAGACTTTCCACTCTGCATAAGGAGCATAACTTCCGTGTTAGCACTTTATAATAATATATGGAAAGAGACCAACAATGTAGGTTATACTTGAAAATAGAAAAGCTAATCAAAAAGTTTAGAAAAAAATAAATAGAACAAAATCATAAATCTGAGACCTAAGGTGCATTGCAAATGGCTTGGGTGAATAAGATGAATGACAGCATGTCCCATCCAAGAGGTTTAATGGCAGCAAATATCTTGATCGTCTTGGCAAGCATATGAATATCAGAATCGTGTAGAGGGATTCTAAATCTCCTTACTTTTCAACATGTCATGCATAGAGCGTATTTTAAAACTATAACAATTGGGTCAATAGAGGAAAAAGTTATAGATGTTCAATTATCATAACTTACCTAGTCAAGCAAATTTAAGGTTATACTTTCCAGAAAGTACTGAATTATACTATTATCATATATTTCTAAAAAACTAATAAAAATGTAAACTTACTAGGTGAAAAGTTTTATACAAAAGCAGCATACATATGTACAGACAAAACAGTAACAAATAAACACAATTCTGATCTCAAATGAGGGTAATTGTCAAAATTACATGACAAAGTTACAAAGAATCTTAGAAATGTAAGTCCTTTCATGTCATGTCTTTCATTCTGTAAGCTACTACCTGAGAATGCATCTGAAGTTATCTTCTAGATTACTTAACTGCATGGATCAGCTGTATGAAGTGCTCACACATAAAATATAAAATATCTCAATTGTGCAAGAGAACAGATCTTGAAACTCCAGAAAAGAAACAAATGATAAGAAAACTCCTTAAAAAAATTGCATCTCTGCAGACACAAAGAAGAAAATGAAAACAAACCTTTGCCACAGCATCAGTACCTTCAGTGCTGTGTGAGAGATGATCATCAAGCATGTTGAAGCGGAATAAAATCTGCATGAAACTCTGCTTTAGGATATCAAGTTCTTGCATTACATAGCTCTTTTCTGCTTTTTCTAGCTTAGCAATTCTTTTAGCATACCTCGCTTGCTTCTTTTCCAACTTTAGTTGTTTGCTTAAAAGCTTAATTTTAGCACTTGCCATGCTAGAATCACCATTAAATTTCCCCTCTCCATTACATGTATGCTTTTCTATCTTCTTTTGCAATCCTTCCCTCCTTTGCTTTTCCTCCTCCAACATTTGTGACAAGCGATTTGCACGGACTTTTTCATTATTTGCCTTTATCCTTTCAACTTCCATGAGCCTTTTCTGTTCATTTGCCTTTATAGCCTCTGAGTCTGCACGTGCTTTTTCTGCATTTGTCTTCTGCTTCTCTGATTCAATTCTCTTTCTTGCATCATCTGCTTTAGAGATCTCTTCCTTCAGTTTTCTTTTCGCCTCCTTAACTTCAGACATTGCTTTTTCCAAGCATATCTTGTACTCTTCAGCTTTTTTGCTCTCACTTTCTGCAAGCCTTCTACCTTCTTCTGCATTATTCTTCTCTATTTTTACAAGCTTCCATGCTTCTGTAGCTTTCTTCTGTTCTGATTCAGCTTTCTTCTTCTCATTCTCATATTTCTTTTTCTCTTTCTCAAGGAGCTCTTTAAGTCTTGATATGTCATTCTGTCCTTCTGAAATACGAGCTTTGAGAAGCTGAATCTCGCCGCTGTTTACCTTCATTGAGCATTCCTTTTTCTCATATGAAGACATCTCTGACTTCAACTTCTGTATCTCACTCTCCAGGTTTTGCCTGATGCTGAACTCTTCAACCTTTTCTTCTTTCTCCTGCTTTCCACGAAGCTTCTCCTCCTGAAGAGCTGGAGAACAACAATCATTTCAGTCCATGAAACACAATGTTCAATAGATAATAGATAAATGACGGGATCAAGAAAGAAATATCATATTCCAATTCTATATGTTTTGTTTGATCATACTGTAAATATCAAACACTTTCTTGTGCGTGCTATGCATGCACACACAATTCAGCATTGAGTTAAAAATGATGAGCAGTTGAAGGGATGGATGAGTAAGAGGGGTATTAAAGAGAGTTAGTGGTGATTAATAGGTGTAGTTATGTGGAAGATTGGATGGATGGAGTTAAAGGAGAAGTCTTTTGAATTTTGCAAGTTTACCATTTCTATGATTCTTAAACTATGTGTAAATTAATGATGACATTTGTGATGGATGGAGTTAAAGGAGTAGTCTTTTGAGTTTTTCAAGTTTACCATCTATCTATCCTATGAAAAATTCCCTAAGGACACAAAATATGGGACCTACAGGGGGGACAAGTGAGGTGTCCCCGTCCTAATGCATAATGAGCTGGCCATCATTAATGATGACCAGCTCATTATGCAATGGAGTGGGATACCTCACATGTCCCATCTCACATGTCCCCCATGTTGATCTCATATTTTGGGTCCCTATAGCAAAACTCATATCCTATATACTAAAGTAAAAGCCTTAATTCCCACTTGGCAACTTCTTAGAACTTTTCACCACTTGGCAACTTCCTAGAGTTTTTGGTCATTTGGCTTTCCCTTTTTCCATAAAAATCTAATTAATGCTAAGGACTTTTACATGTAATCATGCTATTGTATCATGAATGATCTGCCTCCGTAACTTCCAACCCATTTATTAATAGTACCTTCTTTTATCTTTTATAATTTCATAATTAACGAAGATATCTTTTCCCAAAATGAACAGTAAAACCTAGATATGTCCATTTACGCTTAAATTATTTTTCTTTTTTAGCATCTTTAATTTTGCACATATTGCTTGAGTATATAGAGTAAATAAAGTAAAGTCCAACTCTAAAAATATAGAAGTATAGTAAAATTTTTAAATATTTCAGCAACATGGCACGGGTATAACACTAGTTTTCATGATTCTTAAACTATGCGTAAATTATGATGACATTTCATGGAATTATTGGAATTCATGACAAACATAGGTGTGGACCCCAAAATTAGGACCAAAAAGATGACTCTTCTTAAATAATAGTAATAGATAATAGATAGTTCAAATTGACAATGCCAAAAATAGAAATTCCACTGAAAATTGGTCAGCATCTGCAACTCCAGACTCCTTCGACAGCCAACCTAATGGAATACCAAAACCATGGTTGCACCTTCTCAGTTTCAAATGTAATTAAATGGCATAAAATAGAAAGTCCGCATCTAAAACTAAACATAAAGAAAAATGCCTAGTTCAAATAATCATTAATCTTCCAACCTAATCAACTAGGTAATTTATAAATAAAAAAATAAAGCAACTACATAAACATTCTGCTGAAAAATCAAAAACAACTAAGATTGCAAATTCGATATAATAATTACCATCGTTATGTGACAAAATATTAAAAAATGTAGTACTTTGAATAGATCATTAACTACAGTAATACATTAAAGTGAAAAATTATGAAGAGAAAACTCAAAAATAAATCTCCTTACCCTTCTTGAGTCGCGCATTCTCTTGAGCGAAACCATCCAATCTGGCATCCATCATCTTCAATCCTTGCTTTAGCATATTCCTATCGCTTCTCGCCTTCAAATATTTTTTATTCAGCTGCAAAAATACAAAAAATAAATCAAAATAGAACAAATACGAATCTTTAACTAAGCACAAAAAAAAAGGGAATCTGACCTCAGCGCAGCAAGGGTTCGAGGAATCGGAACCTAAGGCCACGTCGGCCTCTTTGGGCCTGAGCTCGATGTCGGGGGGGCCCACCGTCGTCTTCACCACCACCTTCCCCTTCGTCGGCGGCTCCGATACGTAGATCGACGACATCGCCGGTGATCGTCCTCGTCGTCCTCCTCTTGGGCTTCTGCGAGGTGAACTGGGTTAGGGTTTTTGCCAGTAAAGCGTGTGATTCAAATGGGTCACAGGCCCACGATGGATCGGGCTCCGCAAATGGTTTGTTTGATGTCAGTCCCTAAAACCTTTGTTACTCAGAAATTAGACCCCCCCAAATTGGAACCAAATCAAAACCCTAGTTTTTTTTTATCGGTTAATTTGGTTGCGGTTTGAACTGCCGGCTTGTTGAAGATCGCAGATAAAGCCCAAAACGTGATTTGACGCTTGTTTTCAGCCCAAGAGCCCCAGCTAGTAATTCGTTCGGCTTTAAGGCCCACTTATAAGTTGTTGAAATGCTCACATATTTTTACAAGCTTTACCTTAAGAACAACGATTTTGCAAATAACTTATGTTGAGTTTTTTTTAAATTAGCCCCTTACATCTAAAATATTCCCTAAAATTATTAAAATTGTTATTAGGTCCCCAAGTCTTATATCTTTCTACTAATGCTTTTGATTGGAGGGAATAATTTGAAACTAATAATACGGAGAGACCTAATATTATAGAAACTTCAATGAGTTTAGGGACTAATTTTTTAAACAACTTATAAGATATTAATCTCTTAAAATGTTAATATCTTGAAGTAAGTCTAAATCATTGAAATTGTTATTAGGTTCTTCATTTCTTTGAAATTGAGGGACCTAATATTAACATTAGAGGAAATTTAGGATCATATCTATAATATAGACATTCATGTATCCTGAGGTATAACGTAAGTACAAAGATGATCCTGGAGTTTACACAAATAATTTTGTGAGATGCTTATTATTGGGGCTCGAGTGTCACAGTGGTAGTTATAATTTATAATCTCAGGATTACATGTGTAAATAACCGTACTCTAGCATTACCAGTGTAATTACATCATACCTCAAAGTAATAGGGAAATGGGATGTTCGGTTCGTGAACTGCATCTTATTGCATGTAATGGATCTTGCAAAACCCATGCTCAAAATATTGTTGTTTGTGGAAAATTTTGTAATAAAAGGATTGAAAGAAAATTGACTTGTATTTCTTCGATCTCAATTACAATTCGATTACAAAAGAGAGGAGAATGAATTTGATTCTCCCCTTTGTTTAAAACTGGGTTCTTGGTAGCGATGGAGTGCCTCCTTCGAATGTTTGCGTCGAACTTGCTCTCCGTTGACGATCCGATCGTTTTGTGTCTCGTGGGAACAAAGAACTTCTATGGTAAGTTTGAGGAATAACTCTTAACGAGTTTTTTTAGAACTCAGAACGAGCTAGAACTCTGTGAGAAGAGTTGTTAGAACCGAATAATCGGTTAATAAGCCAAATATATCGATTTGTTGCTGAAGAGTCTGATCTGCCAAGAACTCTACTGATTTCGGAGATGATTTAATCTCTTGAAATCTAGTCAAACTCCCCCTCGATCTCAACTCCGTGCGGTTTTTATCTCCAAAATCTTCAACTAATCAGCCAACCAGCCAACCCCTTTACTCGGTTGAGTAAGGCGGTTATTTATAGGAGGATAAGGGGTGTAACTGACCCCTAAATCCGCTTCTGAGTGGGCGTGATTTCCTCAGATCGTGGGAAAACAGTTCTGAAACCGTTCGACTCATGTTTGAATGAGTCAAACGCCCAATTTGACGTTCAGGGCCCTAACTCTGCATCTTAGAATTGAGACGCGGAGTTGGGTGTAAGATGCAGAGTTGGGTGTTGTCTGAACATCAAAAACGCGAGGGCCGCTCGTGTTTTGTTTGTTACGGCTTGGAAACGCGGGGTTCGCCTACATTTCAAGAATTGTAACGCGAAGATGAATTCCGCGTTTTAGAAGGGGCTAGTTGATTTGTAAGTGTCGTTGAGTAGTCTTCTGTAGAGCGTTGTAAGTACCATTGTTCAGTAATCCTCGCTTTAGCTGTTGTGGGGTGTGAAAGTCGTCAGATTATAACTCTCACTGTTGATTGTGAAGACTACTGAATAGAGTTTTCATCAGTTGTCGGAAGTGTCGTTGAATTGTAACTCTTCTCGATCTATGTGAAAAGTCCTCCATTTGTAGCTTTCTTTTGTTGGCATGAGAGTCATCTGATTATAACTTTGAAACTTGATGGGGATCATCTATCCATCATGATTTTTAGACAGCCTACAGAACCCCCTCCAAAGTTTTCGAAAGTTCGCGGTTGACTGGGACGAATTTTCGAAATACTTTGGATCCTAAGATTTAGTTGATTGATTGTTCACTCCATCTGATCGTGAACCTGGTTATTGAAATGTTGAAATCCTACTTCTCAATCTGCGATGAGGTGTATTCATCAGATTTCATCCGGATCCTTTAGATACTCCACTCGATCTGCGATGAGGTGTATTCATCGGATTTCGTCTGGATCCTTCAGATACTCCACTCGATTTGCGATGAGGTGTATTCATCGGATTTCGTCTGGATCTTTCAGATACTCCACTTGATCTGCGATGAGGTGTATTCATCGGATTTCATCTGGATCCTTCAGATACTCCACTTGATCTGCGATGAGGTGTATTCTTTCATCCAGAGAATTCTTGTAGGCATTGATGAACACTCAAAATGCAGCTTTCGGCTTCATTAATCTTGGTGGGAATGTTAAGCCATTCAGAAGAATGAGTTGCGCGTCGGATCGAGTTTTGATTAATCTTTGTTGGGATGTTAAGCCACTTAGAAGAATGAGTTGTATGCAGCTTTGATCTTCATTAATCTTAGTGGGAATGTTAAGCCACTTAGAAGAATGAGTTGCGCGTCGGATCGAGTCTTGGCGATTTTAGCGTTGTTGACTGTAATCTGTCTGTGCTCATCCAATAGACTCCACAACGAAGTCGTTTGTTTCTTCTCGGCTTTGGTCATCTTGATGACCACTGTTACCCCTTCTTCTATTTATTTGGAGCTGTGCCATAGCCTTGGTTGTTGAGATGCTGATTTTATGGTGGTCCCAACACATAGATGAATTCTGTGCTTAAGAATGAGAACGCGTGGGTGAACTCTGCGCTTGAAAATTAAAACGCGTGAGTAAATTCCGTGTTTGGAAGTCCAACCAACTCGAACGCTGAGATCGGGTTTGGATGGGATTCTAGCCTAGAATCTCGTTCCGATTTGACAGCTCATAGCTGTCTATAAATAGACCGCTGGGGATCAAATCAAGAGTCATTCGACTCTTCTTGAAACTTTAACGAAAGCTTTCATTCTTATCTCCGGCAAACACTATTCATCTTCTCTTCCAACGAAATCGATGGCGCCCAAGAAGAAAACCGTCTCTCGGTCTTCTAAAGCTAACGTCGTCGCGGCTCGACGTTCGTCGTCGGCGGTGCTGTGGCTCAGGCGAGCGTGTCACCGCCTCAACCCCCTTTAATCGGTGGTGAGTATGACCAAAATAACTTATTTCGACAAGTTTTTAGAAAACCCTAGATTGGTTCTTGACAACGAGGAGACTCGTTTTAATGGTACAACGTGGGGTTTGGACTCCGTCGTTTGAAATTTTGAAGTACGGGGGTTTCGACCTCCGCGCTTAAAATTTTGACAACGCGTGGTTCAATCTCTGCGTTTAATTTTATCAACGTGATGTTCGGCCTCCGTGTCTGATTTTTCTGATGCGGAGCTCGACCTTCGCGTCTAATGCGGGGCTCGACCTTCGCGTCTGATGCGGAACTCGATCTTCGCGTCTGATTTGACTTTGCACTATCTGACTCTTTTCTTTCGTTTTACAGTGCGCCATACCAGTGAGCCTCTCCCTTTTCGCCATCATTTTGGGCATGAAGGTGGCGTGGATCCAAACATGACATTTAATCTACGCCAAGAACTCCCAGTTTTCAGGATTACTGAGAAGAGTCGTGTGGAAATGATCACCCAGGCTTCTCCTGAAACTCTTCGGATGTTAGTTACGGATGCTAAGCTTGAGAGCCTGAGCCGTAAACCGATAGTCAAACCAGGGTTCCTCTTTGGGGATTTTGTTGACTTTGAAGCAGGCATCGCTTATGATAGGGACTACAAATGGCTAAGGAAGGTTAGAGACCGTAACCTTTTCCTACCCAATATGGAGAGAATGTTCCCCATATCATATTTTCAGTGCGCCTCCATCCTAAGGCGTATGGATTGGAACCTCGTTAAGGATCATGACGGAGTTGTTCTCGGGACCTTAACTTTTCAAGGGGTTCGTACAGTGGGCTATAACAGACAGGTGACGGCTTTACGACCAGGCTTGTTTGCCAAAGAATACCCAATCGGTGAAGTCGCCAGTCCGACGAGTACTTTTGTCAAAAAAGTTCATGGCGAAGAAGGGAGAATTTTCCGCGCAAGGATTTAGAACTCCTGGCTGGGTTCATTCTCCGGTGACAGGGTGGTGGACCCGGATGACCAACTTCGTTTTGAAGGAGTTGGATGCACCTCTTACTCAAGCTGGCCTGAAGGTTCCTGTACGGGCTACTAAGTTCGGGATTGTCCAGAGCCACTTTCATTTCTTTTCTATATTAGAAAAATACAATCCCGAGACCTGCACCTTCTTCACCCCGGTGGGGGAGTTAGGCTTCGCTCTTCACGAGATGCATGAAATCTTAGGTCTTCTTCTCGGGGATTTGCCATATGAAGAATTTGTTCCGGGATCAACGGAACTTAAGATTTTGAAGAAAGCCAGCCCCGAAATTTACTCCACCCTCTGGGAAGTCATGTGTCACTTCCATATTCGTATGCAGCAAACGGGGGCTCGAGGGGGTGGCATCAAACAAGTGTCTTGGGCGGAATATTTATTCTAGAACTTGATAGATAAAGGAGCTCTGGTTACTAAATTGCCTACAAGCACTTTGGAGGAGATTCAGGCTCGAATTGCTGCTGCAACCTCCCATTATACCAATGAAGTCAAGGAGGACGTTTTCCCGGCTCATACGGAGTTTGAAAGTTTTCATTATCAAGCTCAGATCTCTA